GAGAGAGAGAGAGAGAGAAAGAAAGAGAGAGAGAGACAGACAGAGAGAGAGAGAGAGAGAGAGAGAGAGAGAGAAAGACATTGACAGATTGAGAGAGACACACACAGAAAGAGAAAAATGTAAACTGCCATAAATTTATGAAAACAGCAACAATCAAACACTGTAAATACGGAAGAAATGCATCCAAAATTTAAAATCTTTGAGAAAAAGATCATTATTGCTGTCTTTGCCCTGCCTTAACTTGAGCTTCCAACATCTCAGCACAGAATGAGACTCCTGAGATATAGTTCTGACAAAACAAACTTCTATCCCTTTTCATAAAGTTGTAATGTGACCTACTTAGAGCACTTACCCGCACTCGTCGGACCAGCTCAATCTTGGCAATCTCCTCCAGTTTCTTTTTAATCTCCGCTTGCCGGTTCCGCTCGAGATCCAGAGTCTTGTGGACAATGGCCTGGGCCAACATGTCCTTGACATGTTTCTTGTGCTCCTTGCGGCTCATGTTGAGGCGGTACGTATTCTCCGAAACAATTTCTCCATATCTGGTAATCTGAAATGGAAAATTTTATGAAAACTAAGGAGGCTACTTTAGGGGTTGTTGTCTTCCTTACCTTACCTTTGAATGTGAATCTTTCTTTCCTTTCGCTTTTGCTTTAAACTACAGCTCTTCAATATGACGATGGAAATCCACAAAATACGAGACATGCTAAACTGACTAATCAAGAAAGACGGCAGTCTATAAAAAAAACTCTCAAAACAGAAATAGTTTTCTTTTGAGATCTGATATCTGAAATGATTTATATGATGGGGGAGGGGGGGGTGGGGGCCGAAACTGAAACATTATAACAACTACAAACTACAAAATTGCACCCAACGCTTAAAATATAAGAAAATGAAATTTCTCATGAATGTCAACAAAGCCAATTATGTATTACAGCAAACCTTCATGATAGCAACGAAAAATCATCCACAAACTAGTACAGGTCATTTGGATAATAACCATATTTTAAACACAAACTGAAAGGATCATTTAGACAAAGACCAGGATTATCTCAACAATAACAACATTTCGTATAAAAAACACAGCATGTAATCTGGACAAAGACCACATTTCACGCACAGACACAAATTAAACATAGAGAAAGAAAAACTTTATGGACAGAATGATTCATCTATTGCAGATCAAAACATGAAACTACAAGAGGTCATATGGCAGGATTAAACAATATATTGTGAAATGGGTGAAAATGTGGCACAAAAATGAGGGGAACATCAACAAGTTAATGCAGACATCGTCACTTACAAGTCCAGATTTTCGGAGGTGTTTCCGCATGCGGGAGTTGGAAAAGTAGCCATCGAGATGGCGGTCTGATAGACTGTTGTAGGCGCTCAAAGGCCTTTGAAAGAAAAACAAAAAAACACACTGTGTAATTGTGTAAAGTGAGCTCCATATCATAATAAAAATTTACACGCATAGCACGCAATATGTGTTCACAAAATCCAAAACAAACTTAATATTATACTTATAAATATTTAAACAGAAAGAAAAACAAACACAGTATATATGTGTAACATGTTCACAGAAAGTGAGACATACACAGCACACATGAATTACATTAACATAATACAGTAGAAACATGGCACAGGTCAATACCAACAATAAATGTGATACAATCACAGCACATCAAAAGAATTATCAATTAATGTGGTGCCAACACCGTACACATGGAATATATACAGAATCTGACACAGGTGCAGTACATTTTCAGCAGGCCTTCAGCTTGTAGTAATATTCACCATTACCCCCCCCCCTTCCCC